ATGTTTCATCATCAATCCAAAAGTCATTTTAACATAAACATTCCTCCAAATTTCTCATGCTCGACAAAACAAATCCCGTCTGAAGGTTTCTACGTGTCATCGCTGCAGCGATGCACAGAAGCACGAATGGTAATCGAACCACAAGAAGAGGACACAGGAAGTGATATGCAACTCCTTGGTGCAACATCACATTAAAGTCCAGGCCTGTAGAGCGCAATCAAACGCAGCGTGGCCTAATCGTGGCTGCTCGCCGTGTTTCGAGTGTTTACCTTATTCTTGCTGCTGGTGCACTCCCCCAGCAGAGACTTGCAGCTCTTGTGAACGTTCACAGCGCAATCTGAAAAACACCAGGGCAGAAACTTACAGTCAGTGTATCATTAGTCTTTGCAGGAGCACGTTTATACAAGACCACAAAGTTTTGGCAATGATGCATGTTTGAAATGAAAAAGAACAACATTTGAGCAGCTCCTGAAGGCGACGCCATCACGAGTACAAAGCTGTGATTCAGGCAAAGAAACAGAAAGCTGAAGCACTTTCAGCTCATGCAAACAAATCACAATGTTTGTTTTCATGCATGTATTTGTAAAGTAAAACTGGTGGGACTGGTGCAACAGTGGCTGTAGCTTCTGTTTGTTTCCCCATAAAGACACAGGGTCAGAGCGCCGTCAGGCCAGCAGCTTCCTTTTTCTCAGTAACAGGTTTATATTTCTGTCTTTATTAAACCCAAAGCTGCTGCTGCATGTTTAGATGACATGACTGTATATACCTCTCTGCTAATTACACAGATAAAAGCTGTTATGGAAAAATAAACTGGGGGCGAGAAAAGGTCTCCTCCATCGCGTACGCGATTACTGAGATCTTGCAACCTGGCAGCGTACAGTACAACACATACTGTAAACGCCCGAAGCCTTTTCTGGAGGACAAGGCTAGCCAAACAAATCAGTCATGCTTCAGCATGCAAAGCGTGTTCCCATCCCTTCCAGGGAAAACCACAATAATACAAACAAGACAGACAAGTACATGGTTGTGTAAAACCGTATCTACGCTGTGACTGGTGAAAAACTAATTGCAGCTGACTGCGTCAAGTCAGTGCATCACAAGAGAAAGTGTGACGTCGTAAAATAACTCGTTCACTGATGATGTTTACGTCCTAAAGCATCATTTACACCGACGCAGGCAGCGTGGCGAGTGTTTGAAATCAGGCTTTGTAGCCGGCTGACAAAGGCGACGCTGGCGTGAGCCGTACCAGCAACTTCCACTAAATGCTGAAAGTTTCTAGCCCTTACCCCCCCCCTCTGAATGCTGGTACCACACTACAGCTGCTACAATGGAGACAAATGATAAGTCTGTATCTTCTTACCCAGAAAAAGCATGAAGCAGTGAGGCAGGTGATCATTTGTGTGTGAAAACGCTCTGCATGCAGCTTTTTGCCTTTTAGCTTTTTTCTCGACCCCCCCTCTGTGTCTGCTCGCTCGCTCTCATCATAAATGAACAATTGCTGGCTCAGCTGAAGGAAAAGAAAACAGAAACTGGCTTCTGAATAATCTGAACCAGCACCGCTGTGCCTCTCTTTGAGCTGTATTGAGCAGATATATACATAAAACTGTGAATAGCAACTAGAAGCACTTCGATTGCGTTGAATCTAAGCCCATTTTCCCCTTTTAGACTTTGTTTAGCAGCTAAAGGACAAGAAGGAACTTCAGAAGAAACTAGAAATTTCCAACTTTTCATCCTGATTCAACTAAAAAATGAAAAAGAAAATAAAATCTAATCTAATCTGGCTGTTTGACAGACGAGCTCAAATTCATTGTTTAATGAAGACAACCGGCCCCACGGTCACGGCTCATTCCTCTTTCTTCCAGAGCTCTCGTCCACCTGCTCCTTACTCTCACTACAGAGCACAATGTCATCTGCTTGACCGATCTGTCAGCCTGTCCATCAACACTGCAAACACAAAGGGGCTCCGAGCCCACCTCTGACTCCTACCACACAGCTCACCACTGTGTCACCGTCCCTTTATGTGTCCCGCACTTCCTTATACAGTACGGCAGTTCCTGTCTTGGAAAGGTACTGAGAAGCAGAGGGGATTAATAAGTATATCTATGTGGGGTTTAAAAAAAAATCAATGTCATTGCAATATTATGACTCAATAGAAGTAGAAGATTAACCTTAGATATGCAAGAACAGTAGGTTTTCTGTTTACTGATATCACCGAGCTTATCATTGCAGCTTGTTAACAATAGCACACTGTGCAACATGCTGAACACACAGGTTGTGACAGAGAAAAAGATCAAAGTAAGCAGAGCT